TGAGTACGTGTGCGAGAAAGAAAGAAAGAGAGAAATAAAGAAATAAAGAAAGAAAGAAAGGAAGAAAGAAATAAAAAGAAAGAGAGACCATGTGTTGACTGCCAGGTGATTTACTCCCGTATTGTAAACCACTCTTTCGACGGGTTGTTAGAGCCGTCCAACTGTTCTGTTTTGTTGCCACTATGTCTCTAGTGGGAAAACTGTAGTTCTCGAGGCCTTGATATTTTGTTTAAATTACTTTCCGCAGTAAAGCTGTCGGAGCTTTTTTCGTTACCCCAATTTTACTAGTAAGGGAACATTGCCGAGCTTGCCAAGCTTTTTTTTTTTTTTCGTTTCGCCCCCTCTTTTTTCTTTAGTTTGCGTTCGCTGTTTCATAGCTGGCTTTTCGTGTGAAACTAGCGATATATCCTGCGCACCACTCATACGTGGCTGTCTCGGATTCGCTACTCTCGCTGACCAAGAGTGACGAAAAAGTCGGTGTGCACTTTTGTTTCGGTTTCCATCTTGTCGGTGTCGCGAGTGCGCATACATTCGGTATTGTGCGATCGCTCCTCAGTGCGACTGACGGTGATGGTGAAGGCGAGGCGGCCGGGCGCGTGGACGGTCCCGCAATAACCGTCCGTTGCCACTTGCATATTTGTGTAAACGTTGACGCGAGCTGCGCCGAGTGTTTGCCTTGCGGCCTCGCCGTTTGGCGCGACGTCATCGCGAACATCTTTCCTCCCTTTGTCCCTGGTGCCGTCCTTCGATGATCCACAAAAGGAAAAGTGAGTGATAGAATGAGCCGGATAAACCTTATTGAGAGCATCAAACGAAGACCCGTGCGAGTGAATGTTTTCCGAGCTCTTCTGCGCTTATGCACGAAGCGTCGTCTTCGAGTGGCGGCCGTAACACGGAAAAGTCATTCGAGTCAGTTTTTTTGTTCTTTGCTTTCCTCCTCCTTCCTGCCGCGGTGGGTTCTTCCTCGGCGTTGCCCTTTCGTTTATATTCTTACCTCGTACCCGATTGCGTCGTTTTGACGCAGGAGCGAACAGGTTGCTGACGCGCAGCTTCCATAAAAAGAACGTCGTCTCCTCGGCGAGCCTGGGGGAGAGGAAAGGTGGATCAACTCGTCCCCGAGATTCGCCGCGGCGTGTTTACCAATGTGCGGGATTCGCTCGCAGGATTTCAAGCTGGACGGTTGTGCCCTCGCGATCTCCGACTTCAGCGTAGCTCCCGCCGACTGGTTCGCCCTCCGCGGTCTCCTGATGCCGTGTAGCTCTCGCATTGTGGCACCCCGCCCTTGGACTGCTTCGACCGGATCCCCACTTTCCTATCTCCTTCTTTTTCCTCTCGTTGGCTGTCTTCTTCTGCTTCTACTTTCCTTCTATTCTTTTTATCCCTCCTTCCCCCCACCCCTATAAGGCACTGCGCCGTGTCGCCTGAAGGCAGACAGAAATTAGGTGCCTTTTTCCTCTTCATTCTAATCACTACCACCACCCCACCAATGTGCGTAATACGCGCGCGCGTGAGGCGCATTACTTGCCGGCAGAGACCGCTCCGGTCGCTGCACGTGTTCGCGGTTGATGGAAGCATTAACTGGTCAGCAGTAGGTATTACTAAGCAGCGGCTGGAGTATTGGTGGAGGAAAAGCAGAGAAGTCGATAAAATAACATCCCAGCCAAGAGTAGCGGCTGGGCAAAATTAAAAAGACATCCGAGTTGAGGGACAGAATTTAAACTCGAACTATTAAGGTAGGCTAGATGGCGCATGCCGTCACCCCGATTCAAAGGGGAGGCCTTTAATCATCATCATCATCATAGTGCGATCGCGTGTCACGCACATTGTCGACGCGGACCGGTAAACTCACGCCTCCATTTCTGTACGATGCCGTATGGATGACGTACAACGGCGGTGCCCCCTGTATAGGTGCGTATATACTCCAGCGGAGGGCTGCGGTGGTGGATTGTTCTCACGCGTGCGCTGATTATTCTAGGTGGAGCGTGATGGTGAGCGTTGATTGCCCTCCCCACTCCCCATCTTTCGACATTGAAGATGGATGTGTGGTGGCACGGCTGCGCCGACGACGAAGAGCACAGCGAGCAGCGCGGGCGGATCCGGCGTGTGATCTTTCCGAGAATTAACTCGTGTTGGTTCTTATGCGTCGACGTAGCAGCGTCCTTAGTGGGGACACTGTACAGTGCAATTACGCACTCCTGAAGTTTACATCGGGCATCCATTCATTCATTCATTCATTTTATTGCCCTAAAGGTATCTTGTTGAGACATTGCATGAGGAAGTGGGTTACGAGAGGCTAACAATATAAGTTATGGCAGGATGGTTTCGAGTCGCCTATACTAAGTCAACCGACATTGTTCGTAATGTACAGGGGGGATCTAAAGAAACGCAAATAGCACGGCGCGCCGTTTTCGTCATGCTATGACTTTGGTGGCAATAAAATGATACTAGAGTGGTTCTTGATTGTACAGTGGGAGACTTAGTGGCTTTTTATTACCGTCCAGGCTGCAACCACTTGAAGAGAAATGCGAAACAGCAGAGAGTGTAGTTGCCACACTGCTTGCATTTATTTCATTCGCCCTAGTACGTGTCTGATGTCTGACGGGGGGTTCTATCGCGGGAAGTAGTCGTATTTAATTTAGCCATCGTTTCTTGGGGGTATTCCGCAGGTGGGAGAGGTCGCAAAGAGAAAAAAAAAATGATTACAAATGAGGAAGGGGTTGGAGGGCCTGTATGGTAACTACCAGCTAACACTACGATGGGCACAGTTATGTAGGGGCTCAAGGGATACTGCTGAAGATAAAAGTATCAGAAAATTCATCCACTGACGCAAATGAGAAAGCAGGTCAGTGCATTCCAAGTCTTGTGCAGAAAAACCAGACTTCACATTTCAAGTATTGTGCAGGAAAACCAGACTTCACAGCGCTTCGTCTTCACGTCTCAATCACATGGTATGGTGCAAATTATAAACTATTAGATATGCTCCAAGTGTAGAATTCTTGAAGTTTATTTCATTGCTAGTTGACGTCTCCTGCATCATCTTTCATCGCAGATTATGCCAGTGCTATGAAATCTGTTTGTTGACGCTGCTTCACAAGTCTAAAAACAAAACAAGGTTACGCATGATTGAACAAAATTGCACATGATTGCACCTGGACATATAAAGAGGGCACGAAAGTGTGATGCAGTCCCTATGTAACATGTCTCTGAGAACCTCTGCTTGAGTTTTCTTTCTCTTTACTTAGAGCATTTTGCCTGTATCGTCTACCTGGCTCGTCAGAAAGCGGCTCTGTATTTCACTTGTAACGCAGACTTCTTAGTCTTGTTTTTTTGCTTTTTTCATAGTGCTAAAAATGCTCACTTTGCTACATTTTACTACAAACCAGTGTTAATTACTATCGGTTTTTAGGGTGTCCAGACTAGATTTAATACCTGATAAAAAGTGAGAACAAGCATGCGCTCCAGGTTGTTTTGCATGAAAAAGTCACAGCTTTGCCACAATGGCGAAGCAATGAACGCGATAGCAACAAATTGAAAGGTCACGCAAAGACTGGAAAGCAGATCGAAATGTGCCCCGCGTTTTTCATGCACAAATGACGCACGACACGTACTCACAGGTGCTGATGCACGCGAATAATCGTCTCATTTGTTACTTCGCTGTGTCTGAAAAGCGCGCGTTTTTCGCAAACGGAGACTGCAATGATTGCAGTGACCTTTGTGCGCCTGGTAACTACAGCAGAATCGTTCCAGGTAAAGCCCGAGGGCAACCAAGACGTATGATCCTCCACTCCCCGCCACCGCGAGATAAGGGCGCGCGAGGGAGCGTCGCTCCCCTTCTCTAAGATGGGCAAAGTACCTGTAGGAGATCAGAGTGGGTGCCACCGCGCGATGTGGCTGGATGGATGGATGGATGAATGGATTGATATGGTTGTACTATGGTGGCTCCTTCTAGCCACTATAGCTCTACCCTTTAGACAGGGCGGCGGCTAACGCCACCTAGCCGTAATACTTAGTGAACCAACAACTAGATTTATCGTTTTTTAATTAGTGAAGTTGAGGACTGGTACTTTGCAGTGAAGGATTTAATTTTCACTCGTGCCTTGATTTTAGCCACCAATCAGATAACCTCCTTCTAGTTAATTCAACCCGCTTAAAAGTCGATTTTGCACTCGCTGTCCCCAAACCCCAGTGCTCTGAAAAACTCTGCGCCATCAAGCCCCTTGCAGAACATTATCAGGCGACGCGCGCGCTTATTGTGCAATCTTGCTGGTATTGCTGAAAACACAATTCCCCTCCGAGATGCTCCTGAGCAGCGGTAAGTGGTAGATATAAATACCATGCCATTTAAAGGGTGAAGGACGTGTTCCGGGCTGGCTCAGTAGTTAACGCCTCGCTTTCACGATGCAGAGGTCCCATCTTCGATTCCGCGTGCTGGGGTGTTTTTGTGTGTTTTTTTTATTTCTTGCATTTTCACACACACACACACATACTCATATATATATAGACTTCATAATATGCACGGTGAGTGATGGCGACACGCCGACGTCCACGCCGGCGGCAAAATCCAGCCAAGAGTGTCCATATAATTGCTATAGAAATAAAAAAAAGGGCTGCCTGTATTAGCCAGAGGTCTTCAGGTTTTAACCTCATATTACATCACAGTGTGGGCGTCATTCTCTGCAGTCACATGACTCAATAATGTTTTTAATATTGGAGTAAATGAATAGTGTTGCTTAGAAATGTTAATTGACATGCTGTCAGTTGAACATAGTTTACTTCAAAATATGTAGTGAATGCAAGTCATAGGGATATATGGCTCAATATAGGCATCTATGGTAGTCATTTAATGAATAATAATTTTTAAAAATTGGCAGAGGGTTTGCCATGTGCACCCAAATTTATTGCTATGGAGTACTCACCACCTAAAGAGGAACCGGCTTCTAATGCGTACTTTAGACAAACCTCACACCTTTCTTGATGTTGGCTTCTTCTTCGCATCGCAGATTAATGGCCTCACGCATGTCAACGTTCCGGTCATGCTTATGCCCGACGACTTCAAGGCCTTCACCAAAATTAAGGTGGACAACCACCACTTCAACAAGTAAGTGCGCCTGGTGCAAAGTGCATCTTGAGCCATGTTACCTTCATTCTGTCGTATGGTGCTGCGAATGCACCATTTCACATGCTTACATGCTTGTCCTTGACCCAGGGAGAACATGCCAAGCCATTTCAAGGTTAAGGAGTACTGCCCATTGGTCTTCCGAAACTTAAGAGAAAGGTTTGGCATCGATGATTCTGTTTTCATGGTAAGCTTCTCGTTTATTTTTCTGTGCCAAATTCTTGTGTACTGGCCACATACCACTCATTTGCTCTAGCAAAACCCTGGTTGGAGCTAGTTAGTACTGGCTGATACGAAACCTTTTGGCACACATTCAAGGATACATAACTCAATAGACTAGGACGGGCACCAAGTTCTGACTTTTTTTTTTATTACATAATGGAAAGAAGACTTTATAGCACAGCCAAACCACATGCTGATATGCGTTTGCATCTCAGTTTTTCCTTAATAACCAAAGAACTGCGACGTGTTGCTGAGAAAACTAATCTCTATCTTGAAGTGGCCGGAAAGCCATGCTCACACAGGGGGTCTTCTCAGTGTCTTGCGTAATACGCCTCTATTACTTCTCTCTCTGTCATTTCGTTTGCTTTGCCTATCTATAAAATTTTTAGCATCTAGCTCATTGAAGCTATGTTTATGGGTAGAGCAAAAGAAACACACAAGATGAGTGCTCGTCCTGTGTGTTTCTTCCTTCATTTCGTAAGTTTTGCCCTGTTTTTACATGTTACAATGCCTGACCAACTATCCCAATGAAACACACTTCTGGGATGGAAAAGGAGAGGGGCAAAGTAAGGTTTAAAAAGAGAAACGGCGTTATTGCGTTAGCTTCACAGTGTCATTAATCCAAATTATGATTTCTGTATGAATAGCTGCCAAACTCACCCAACTTCCAGTTCTGCTGCTTTGTTCAGCGCTGCTGTCATCATTTTCTCTCAGAACTCCATTACCAAGTCACAGCCAATAGCAGTGGAGTCGACTGGACGCAGTGGCTCCAAGTTCTATCAGTCCTACGATCGCCTTTTCATCATCAAGACCCTGCTCAGTGAGGAAGTGGAACAGATGCACGTCCTTCTCAAAGAATACCACCCGGTGAGCTTGGAAGACTGCATATTGTAGAGCTCGCTTCTTGTTTTCAATAGTTTACTCAGTAGCACCTGCATTAGTGCCGTGGTTTCTTTTATAAAATGTTTTTAAAGTAGCAGATAAAGATATACAAATTTTTTTAGCATAGTTTGCTTTAGGTGCTCTCAGTTCAATTGGTTTGGTTTGGGAAAACTTCATTCTCTCAATTTAATCTGTGCTTAAATTAGCATGTTATAGTGAATATGGGGATGCCGTGGATCTCTGAAATTTTAGGATTATTCAGGTTACAATGTCATAGTTTTAAAATAATTGAATGTTAAATTCTGCTCAACTGAGATGAGACGATGAGTAACTTTCTCATTAGATTTTGTTCAGACAGGTATTTGAGAGTGAATAATTCGATTCAATTTACTGTTACCACTATTACACAACATATATAAACAAAGAGAATGTTTGAATAAAGGATGCATAATGACCGTATAATTAGTCCCATGTCCCTGTGAAACACAAAAAGCATGGCAAGAATGCCTGATGCGTATGCACTTGTAGCAACATTGAAAAAAAATAAACAAAGCAAAACAATAGAAAAACGGGATTTAGCAATCACAAACAGTAATGGAAATATTTTTGAAGAGACAAATAAAAAAGGCTACATGCACAATAACAGTTAAGATGCTGTGTTTTTAAGAACAAAACTTATGTTTTCATCCTATAGTTTGTTCTTATGTAGCATTTAGGAATGACAATAAGAAAGCATTTGAAGACCATGGATCTCACGTGGCGGTGATGTCGGCCATTTCTGAATTGATTGGCGATATTTTAAAGTCATTCCACTATATATATAAAAAAATATTTGTTTACAAACGAGGCCTTCACCTAGAAAACCTATTTGGTTACTTGTGATATAGCACAGTGCTACTAGCCAATTGTAAAATTAGCTGATGTGCTGCACCTAATCTCAGTTTTTTATTCGTGCAACATAGCAATATTTTGGGAAAGAAGGGTAAACTTAAGTAAGGGTGCATTTTTTGTTGTTGTTGGACACAATATTAATGACAACTGACAGACAATTATGCCAAGGAATGTATAGAAGATGGTAATAAAAGTTATTGTAATGTAATTGAGAAAAATGGACGAAAGGACAACTTTCCATGGGCAGGGATTGAACCTGCGACCTTTGAATAACGCGTCCAATGCTCTACGAACTGAGCTACCACGGTGGCTATCCCTTTGGCCACTTTATGGGGCCAAAGGGTGTGCATTTAAACGTGGTAGTCTCGGTTAGCGCCGCCTGTTGCCGTTGCGACGACTGTGGTACACTCATTTTTTGCCTGTGGCGTTACGTAGCACGTGATCTTATAACAAGCTGGCAGCTGACCAATAATATCCTCATATACTACCTGAGGGCACTAAAGGGGCCCTGAAACACTTTTTCAAGTAACTATGGAATGAATTCGCTGGAAGAGCTTATTGCCTCAGGAATTCAATGCCGCAAAAATTATGAGAATCCATCCTGTGCGAGTGGAGTTACAAAGATTTGTCGCATGCTGCAACTGCATTCTCTCATCTCTAGTCTCAACAAAAGCGCTGAAAGCCAAGCAGGGAGGGATGGCAGGGTAAAAGAAAAACGTCTCGCGTGCTTCGTGACTTTGAGCACTTTTTTTTTTCTTCGTATGCGGGGCGTTCTTCAATGTGATGGTGTCCGCACGTTGCACAAGTCGCGTTCTCCCGCGATGATTTCTGTAACGGCCGAGCGCGCCTTGTTCAAACCTGCCAATGGCTGATAGATGGGCTTTTTGTGGGTGTTTTTTGAACGTCTTCCGTGATTTGTCGAAAGAAGAGAAAGCAATTTTTAGCTCACTTTGATCATTTATTGTGAATTCCAGGCCACGTGTTTAGCTATAATATTTGGCTCGTGTGTTGTCGGGAGCCTCTACTACGGATCGGCAATGTTTTCTGACCATGCTCAAAACGTGTTGCACGGCCTTTTTAAGTCTTTGCGAATGAGACCCTCACTATGAATGAAGGAAAGAAGGGTAAACTTAAGGGCTAGTTTTTTTTTTTTTGTTAGATACAAAATAATAAGACCTGACTGATAAATATGCCAAGGAAAGTATAGAGGATGGTATTAGAAAATATTGCAATGTAATTGGGAGGAAAGAGAAAGTGAATGAAAAGATAACTTGCCTTGGGTAGGGACCGAACCTGGGACCTTCGAATAACACGGTCGATGTTCTACCAACTGAGCTACCACGGCGGCTATCCCTCCATCCACTTTATGGGGTTATGTGCATTTAAATATGGGAGCATCAGTCAGCGCCGCCTGTTGCCATTGTTGCGAGTGTGGGACACTCCTTTTTTGCCTGTTGGCATCACGTAGCGCGTTATCTTATTACGAGCGGGCATTATTATTACGAGCTGGCAATTCTGCCATTCAAGATTTAGCGACAATTAGGGGCTATAGTGCAAACATTTAGCAGGGGGACCACGTCTTTCTTTGTCGTTCTTGTTTATATTAATACTTATCTTGTGTGTTCAAAGGTTTTCTCAGTTTTGAGTGGGAATAAATCATGAAGTACTTAGACTGCTTGACTATACTATTCTTTGAAAACTCTGTTTGTCTTATTTGACAAAATACTGAACATTTCTTATTGGCAGAGAAATTGCAAATAAATGTTCTGAATTATATGCCCAGATTGCTATACCGATGGTGTGTGTTGAAAGGTTTTCTCAGTTTTGAGTGGGAATAAATTATGAAGCACTTACACTGCTTGACTATACTATTCTTTTAAAACTCTGCTTGTCTTATTTGACAAAATACTGAACATTTGTTATTGGCAGAGAAATTGCAAATAAATGTTCTGAATTGTATGCCCAGATTGCTATACCAATGGCATACTTCTATGTGATGTCAATATTACGGCTTTCGTGTTTGCATTATGTAAGTTGTGCATGTAGATAGTATCAAAGAGTTGCAAGTTTATGGATTTGCTTATTTTTTAATGCGACATAATCAATTCAAGGAGCACTTTTACTAAGTGCTAATCAAGTTCTCTTGGCATAGCCTTAGCTTTGTTAATACATGTGTTTGTATGTGTGCCTGTGTATATATGGCTACAACATGTAAAAGTTTCAGGTGGAGTTTGAACCCATCCCCTCCCGACTCCTATATCTTTCCTCTGGCTATTCCAGAAATTCCCAAGCAGCCATTCATTACATGAAGAGTTGAGAGAGTGGAAATAAAATGTAGAAGGGATGGTACTGCTTTTCAGTTGGATCAATGGATTGAAACATCCTTGAATATAAGTGGTGAGGATTGTGACCGACATATCATCACCCCTGTTTTTATACTTTCAGTATGTGGTGGAGAGGCACGGGAAGACGCTGCTACCGCAGTATCTGGGAATGTACCGGCTCACTGTTGAAGGAGCGGAGACCTACCTCGTTGTAATTCGCAACATCTTCAGCAGCCACTTGAACGTCCACGTCAAGTATGACCTTAAGGTGTGTGGCTTTCCTGTAACTTCCTCACTTCATCCTCTCAGCTGGTTGGTTAAACTCTTAAAAAAAAAAGTCGGTGGACATGGCAACAAAGATCACCATATTTGAGCCAGCTGTCTGCGAATATTTTCGTATCTCTGAGGTGACACCAGATCGTATTTGTAAATTTGTGGCAGCAGTGATGCATATGTAACCTGACTCATAACTTTAGGACAGAATACATCCATGTATTGTGACAGAGTATACGACAATCGAAATGATCCACTTCTAGTTCTTTTCCATTTTAAAAGTATGATGACCGAAAGCAGCGCTCATGATGGTTACATTGCAACACCTTTTGTCTGTTGACTTGTAGTGCCTCGGAAACAGACTTTACTTTGTGTAATCTGCTGAGAAAGGCAGTGGCTATTTGGGAAACTAAGTATATTCTTTATTAATTTGAGAAGTTTTGAATTGAAACAAGAAATGAAGATAGGGAGCCTCCTGTTCTTCAGTTGCCTGCAGAAGGCATTTGGTTGGCACAGAAGAGCCGTGTTTACTGATAAAACGGCTAAAAGGCTACAATTTAAGACCTTTATCTGCCAAGGGAAAATCCTGCTAATTTAAATATGACGAGGCTTTGTAAGTTGCTGATGGTTGATGTTCCATGTCCACTGCTTGTAGATGTTAGTGTTCTATATATATTAAAAAATTTATTTGCACTGTGTGTCAACCTAGTTATCTGTCTGATTGTGCCTGTTAGCTGTAGATTGCCTTTTCTTGGAAGGTGCTCACATGAATGGCACAATATGTGTTTACGTGTGTATGTGTGTGTTTAGGTGTTTATAACATCTGTTTGTGATCTTGCCTGTTGCAAGCAAAAAGCTTGTACTTGCGTATTGTATATTTGTTCCTGTATCAGCTATAGTTCCCATGCTTATGATTTAATGTCGCTGTGTTGTCTTCCCACTGAGCTTTTTATTTGTGTGTGTGTGTATGGCATAGTGTCCATTATTTATTAAGTTCACAAATCTTTAGCTTGTTAATTTGTCTTCACTCACTGTGGTCAAAAGCACGATGGATCTTCAGTGCTAAAGTAGGGTCTCCATACGATGCAGGGAATAGAGCTGTGATTAGGTTGTAAGGTTAGTGCCACGTAATAGTTGGTGTCATGAAAAGATTAAATTTAGCTGATGACTGCATCAGTAATCTCGCTTATATTTTTATTGGCCATTAACATGGACAAAGTGCTAAAACATTTATTGTTGTAGCTCGATATGCCAAGTGTTTTTTTTGTTATAGTAATTAGGCTCAACGTAAATACATTATGACTGTAGTTGTGTACGTGTGCTGCTTTATCTAGGACAGTGTAGATGGCTGACCACCTTAAAATCTTGATGGAAAGAAGTGGCTATTTTCTAAGGGCTTGTTTTACTTTGTCAGACACAATAATAATGAAAACTAACAGACAACACTGCCGGCCAAGGAGAGTATAGGGGATGTTATTAGTAGTAAATTTTATGTAAATGTTAAGAAACAAAAGTGGACGAGAATATAGCGTGCCATGGGAAGAGACCAAACCTGCGATCTTTGAACAGCGTGTCCGAGCATTTTCTTTCACTTATATTTCTTTACATTTACAGTACATTAACTAATAATATCACCTACGCTTTCCTCTGCAGTGTTGTCTGTTAGTTCTCCTTAATACCTTGTAATCTTGGGACTAAAACCTTATACCTGCTGATGGGAACCTAGTATTTTGATTTTATAATTTCTTGTCCTCAATGGTAAATTTTATCTTAGCCTTTGGAGTTTTGCCGACAGATTTGTACATATGCCCGGGCTATCAGGTTTAAGCATAGTAGTCGCATCTATGAAGGAATAATAAACTTTTTTTTTTCAACTTTTTTTTCTTGTTTTACTTCTTTTAACATAGTCATTATGGTATGTGTCCTATGTTTATTCGGAACAAAAAACGAGGTCTAATCCTTAATACCAGCCAATTCAAAAGTGTCAGTTCCAGCAAAAACTCCTAAGTTCTGATCTCTCTTTTTGTGGCTACATTGGACACCCCTGTTCTGTTTATCCATTTACAATTACCCTTCGTATTTCATTATTAACAGCATTTACCTTTAGTTGTAGTGGTAATACTCTCGCCTCTACATGTTGGACGAAACTAATTCATGCTATTTCAATTGTTTTATCGTGCAACAAATCACATTACCTTGATGTCCTATGACACGAAGCCCGGTCTTTTTTAAATAATGAATTGGAGGGAGAAAAGTTTCTTGGCTCGCCGAATGAAGCGAGGCCTCATATTATGACGAATGTAACAGCTAGCTGTCATCAAAAAGCAGAAAAGAGGAAAGTTAAGAGTTCTTTGTGTATTCATTTATGTACAAGAAAAGTAAAAAGTATTCATACTACATGTGCCGAAGGAATGAGGTTTTAGTGGTGTATCATTATTATCAGCTTGGGGCGAATGTTGAGGTTTTGAGGAATGATTTATGTAATAATGTTTTGCAGGCAGTCCTAGCTTGTGAAAAGGTTGAATGTAATGTCAAGCATATCACTTTTAATTTATTATAGAAACAAGCATTCTCTTGTAAATGAGTAAGGAGTAAAACAGGTGAATAGAAAAAGGCTCACTATTTATTATTTAGCAGCAGGCAGATTAAATTTTACTGTTGAAGAAAGAAGAAAAATGGGGCAGATGTTTTTTCTATCAACATTTGCATCAGTCAAAGGGGCACCAAAGACAAGCATTGTATCATTTTACAAAAGGGATTACTTTTTTACAAACCCTGCTATTGTTTTTTTGCACCAATAGGTGACATAGCTGAAAAAAAAAAAAGAATCAACCTAAAGGGGAAAATGCTTCTGTGTATAAGTAGCCGGGAGGGTAGTGTTTTGCTGGTGCTACAAACAGCCATGCTCTTTTGGTAGTGACCAACTGCTCATGATAGAGTGCCCTGCCGCGGTGGTCTAGTGGCTAAGGTACTCGCCTGCTGACCAGCAGGGAGGCGGAAATGTTGTAGGCGCGTGTGCTCAGATTTGGGTGCACGTTAAAGAATCCCAGGTGGTCGAAATTTCCGGAGCTCTCCACTACGGCGTCTCTCATAATCATATGGTGGTTTTGGGACTTTAAACCCACATATCAATCAAATCAAATCAGTCTGCTTATGATAGAGCACCATACTGCTGTGATCGTGGTTAAGTGAGCTCTTGCCAAGCAGCACCAGTAAAGTTTTTTTTTTATAAATGCCAGTGAAATCTGCAGGGCTGCCATTTTCCTCAAATTTAGATGCAACAGCAAATGATATACTAACTTTAATTTTAAAGAGTTTATTACAGTTTGCCACTTACAAGCACTACATCTTGCACCTATGGGAGCTCGTGCTTTATTCCTATGTATTTGCTGGGATAGTGACTTTATCAGTTCTAATTACAAAATATGCGTTACGTAATATTTGCCTTTAGTACCCCTGTAAGGTGCAGTGCTACTGTCGTTGCTTTGACAGGCAGCATTGCATGTGAGACAGCACTCGCTTTTTATCTGTGTGCTTTGCTTTTAAGTCTAGGCCTTTGCAATGTGAGCATCAGGCTTTTTTTTTTATTTGTACAGCATTAGTGAGCAGAGGTCATGGTGCTTTTCTAGTAGTTTTTTGATTAGGAAACGTTTTCAATATGAAGGGATACCTGAGTGCTAAGCCTCGCCCGTTGTTAAAGCACAGGTCGTCATCTGGCCTTATCCAGGTACGTGAGGCATTACGCATATTTCTTGCACAGTACGTGTGGAGGCTCATCGCCACATCATCAGCTTTCAGTCCTGTACTGCTTTCATCATTAACTTAGATGTTCATAACCCTGCACAGTGTTGGAATACTCATTGCTTCAGGTGTGACTTTTGGAATGAGCTTTTTGGTTACTGCCATGATGATATCGGAGAAATTTCACTAACGTAGCTGGCTTTACTGAGTGGCTTCATTGCTGTAGTATAGTGGCACCCCTAGGATGTACTAGATTGAGTTGCATGCATTCACAGCAGCACGCTGTAGGCTTAAGTGCGTATGAACAGCCTGCTGGACATGCTAGAACTTGAGGAATAGGGGTTTGATCAGATATGTAGATGCAGCGGCAATCGTTGTTTCTAGCTTGCATTGAATGTGCACTGACAGTTAAATATTTCAGTGCTCCCAGAAAAATTTTTGTGTTTACCAGTTTTATCAAGCTAATAGTGTTTCACAAGGTGTGTTAATTATGCTCCTAGGTATGTTCTCTGGTGTATTACCGATATAACTTATTTTAACCCATTCTCTACTGCGATGCCATCTGAATCTACTTATGGACATGCATGGACATTGCCAAGCACACAAAACCATTCAGCATTTTGACTGCATTGTTAATTACAAAAGTAGATTATTGAGTAAGCTGGTGTACACACTGACACCGTGACCATACGCCAACATTGTGAGAACAATTCTGACTTGTTAATTATCTTCTTTAACTGAATTATTGGTGGTTTTTTGCTGCTGCTACGTGTAGCTAGTGTTACAGCTACTTCGTGTGGCACCACCTGCATTGAAAATGGCATAAAAAAATGTCCCTATGGCTTATATTTACCGTGAAGCTTTTAAACGTCACAGTAAACATAAGCCATGGGGACAAACGTCACATCATGGTATCAGGTAGATAGATCATTACGTGCTTCTTTTTATCCTAGCTGCTATGAAATATCTGCACCTGTGCTATTGTGAACGTATTGTCTGTGTGAGCACCATTATCATGCAATGTCACTGCTTGTTTAGAATGCGTTATTCATTCCATTTGGACTACACTGAATTTTTTTTCTGCCTTAAAGTATACTCCCTGCATGTTGTGTTGAGTGCTCGTTCTGTCCTACTTACACGAATTCCTACCTAGTTTTTGGCCACGCTGAAATCGTTTCCCGAGATGTGGAAAAGATGCATGGCTTTATGCTCTAAATATGAACTACGAAGTACTGTAAGAGTGTATTTGAAGATCAGAATAGAGCCTTGAAAATACTTTACCGCACTTTGCGCGTTTAGTGGAAGATGTCACAGTTAAAGGCTTTATGGCTGATGTTTCTGTTCAAGTTTGTTGTAGTAGGAAGCTTTATTTTATTTTTTGTTCTTGCTTGTGACTTTGTGTACAGGGAATTAAGATGCAACTTGAAATACTTGAAATAAATAAATGCGTAAGTGCATGTGTGCGTGTGATATTGTCCTGTATTTAGCTTCTTGGAAGTTAGACACATGTCTGTGCAGATGCATGAGCTCTTTATTTTTCTGTTGTCTATTATCTAGGTAGGATGCAATGTTTGGTGTCATTGAGATAACTTTTTGGCATTCAGATGAAGAACGTACTTGCACCTTCTGCATGTGATTCCCCTTCATAAGATTAAAAATGAATAAGCACTCTGTGGTTGAATCTTCATTTAATTTTTTTACGTTCCCAAAAATATCTGTAGGTGACACTACCATTGTACGGATGGAAGGAAACAACTTTATTGATACTGCACGGATGCATAGCTTTATATATGCTCTCATTAATAGATAAACAGGGCAAATGAGCACACTGCACGTGGCATTAGACATATGTAGTAAGCTCCGTTCCCCGCTGGTGGCATGTCCTTTCTTTTTCTTGATTTTTTCTTTTGTATTTATTTTTTCAGTTGTACTTTCAATTACAGGGAAAAAGAAGCATGTGCAAATAGTTTCTTAGAACTGAAAGAGCCCTTTTAGTTATTTTCACTCCAGGGTGCCATTTTAGGAGTGTAGTCTCATTTCACTTGAGTTGCTCGAATGATTATAAGTTGCATACGCATTGTCAGCAGTCATTCCGTTGTGCATCACTCATCCGCAACACCCTGTCTGTCATGACATGTGTGATGTTCGTTGTTAGAGCACGTGCCCACATAACTACTGGGCTAATACTTCTTTCTGCAATGTTCACAGGGTTCTACAGTGGACAGGGAAGCAAGTGAAAAAGAAAGGGTGAGTTTATTTTGTTCCAAGAAATGGCTGTTCCAATAAATGGCTGAAGGAGTTGGTTGCATTTGGCTTGAGTCTGCATTTGAAGCATAGACTGCATGTTTAATCATAACCTTCTTTTACTTGATGTGAGAGCTAGAATACGCAACCTGGTCAACTAATTCTTCCCGACTGCACTGGATGGCCTTACTTTCGGCAGAACACATCTTCGTTTTTTTTTTTACGCTAAGTTGAGGTCGATGAGCACACCTGTGAGTGCATGATTTACCGTTGTTTTGACCTTTTATTTGAAGGATGTTGCAACTGTATACGAGAAAAAGTACTGCTGCCTCTACGATGAAAGTTTGTCTGCACGCCTGTCTTCTCATTTGATAATAGATGCACCTGTGGATGCCGCTTCTCTGTATCTTACTGGTATAATATTTTCTGTTTGAAAGTGCATTGTGAATTACTGAAAAATGCAATATGTATTGTTCATCATAGTCTCTCTTTCACGGGGTGTGCAATTTGACTTTTATAAAAGCCTGCTATCATATTACCTCTGATGAGTGTCCTGCATCCTGCATTACGGGGAGCACCATGACAAGAAAATCCCCTACTCCTCATGCTCTCTCCCACTCAATCTTTGGTGACAGTTGCAAAATAAGATAACAAAAGGCTTACTTGTGCAAGCTGTGAGATTTGTTTTCACAGAAACTAGAGATTTCAACTTGCATATTTTATTGCAGTTACAGGGCTATACACATCAACTATAGTCAAGCTGACGAATGTGCGTATATTTAAAAAAAAACTGGTACATGCCGCACCAGCACACAGAGTAAAGTAATTTGTCTAGAGCAAACCAACATGGATGTCGTTGGGTTTGTGTTCACGTGGCAGAACTAGTGCTTTTCGTGTGTGGGGTTCCCGCCATCTGGTTCAATGATGGAAGGCTGCGTGGCCTCACAATTTTGAAAACATTTATTAGTACAAAGAACGATTACTCGAAGTCCTCACGGCCACCGAACATGCCATTCACCGTTCAGCCTCGCCATGCCAGCCATCCAACACGCGCACACACGCCCCGCCAGTCTGTTGCCAACTCCATGCACATCGTGTTGGCTGCCACTTTTGTAGGGGATCTGGGGGAAGCGTGCACATGCAGCACATGTAGTTATTGGGTGGCGATGCACGTGATTTCCACACACTCGCCGCCTACCCGATCAAAAAAATTCGTGGTCCGTGGTTATCTGCACCTCCATCCGGGGTGTCATTCTCGGCCTTCATCACTGGCCTCTGTGGGGATGTTGCCCTTGAAGATGGCAACACACTTGCTGCTGTCGGTGTGGTCTTGACCGTCTTACTAGCCGTTGTACCGTAGCAATTGCTACGGGAGCTCCAGGGCCCCCATTGGATTTTCGCAGAGTTCTATCAAATTCGTGCATCCTGTGTGTCATGAAGTCGCAAAAGCGCATGCTAGGCGTCTTCCTTGTCCATCCTTTGTGGACATCTCCTTGTTGTGTATCGAGAAGCTTCTTGAGGTCGGCCTCCTGAGTGACGTTGGCCAGCCTGTTCAGCCGCACGATGTGCATGGCCTTCATGTCAGCCATCTCTTCCGCTGCTATCCCGGCTGTCTTTCTTTTCTGCGTAATCACCATCTCTGTATTGGCCTTGCCAAGCTAGGTGGTATCCATCGTCACCGCAGCTGGCATTGCTGCTTCAAACCTCTTCGCGGGCGGTGCTGTGGCGCAAACGACCATGACAGGTGTCAGCGCGTCATTAGTTGCATTGACCTCCCCTGCAGCGGCTGGGTTCTCGAGCTCGTTGCTCGTGTAACTGTTGTGGTTGTCTCTGGCACAGACTGTGGCCTCCTCAGCGATGGGACTGATGCCGGCCATCTAAGGGCCCGCTTACCTGTTGTGGTCGTCACCAGCACGCACGACTGGTCTCCTCGGCCATCGAACTCCTGCCTCTCACTTTGTAGCCAAGTTACCGCGGAGTTCTTGTTGTACTCGTCTGCAGCCACCACGGGGCCTGATCCAGGGGCAGATCCCCAACTGGAGCACTCGTGTCGACATTACTTGCATGAGCGGTCTCATCCTTTTGCGCCATTCTGTATTCCCGCCCAACCATGGGCGGTGACCATCGTCCATAGGCCATTGTTGGGACACAACGCCCCTCACCGCACAATAGGCTGTGGATTTGGCGTGTTCTCTCACCACACTGTACGCTGTGGTGGCTATGTCGAGCCACTCCATTATCTCAAGGAGCCCATTCAACACTGCATTCCTTTTGTTGGTCAACGTAGCCACTTGCACATTGGGCACCACTTCTGGGGTTCTCATCATCTGGCACAATGATGGAATTCTGCATTCACTTAAAATTTGCCAAATATTTGTTAGTACAAAGAATGATTAGCACTTCAACTTTCAACTCAAAGTCCTCATGGACACTTCATATGCCACAAATCTTTCAGCTCTTGCCACACCAGCTTTCCAACACACACGTGCACACGCCCTGCCAGTTTGTTACCAAGTCCCTGCGCATGGTGTCGGCTGGCGCTTTTATAGGGCATCTGGGAAACACGTGCTCTCCTACCGCACAGAACGCGTAGTTATCGAGTGGCGATGCACGCAATTTCCACACATTCTGGCAATGCATAACTGGAAAGCATTGCGAGGCCACGTTGAAATCATTTTAAGAGATTTCGGAGTTGTGTTATACTGCTAGTTACACAAAAAAAAAAACGGAAAGAAGGGGAAGGTGGAAGCTTGTGATGAGAAATTCGAAAATGGGGTGGGTGCTGGAGCCAAAGTTTTGACAACTGGACTTCATTTTGGTGGTTCATTTTGGTGGCACTTTGAAGAAGTTGCAGCCTCGAAAAAGAAAAAAGACGATTCCACTCGTTGAAACGTCAGCTCCAGAACCCACCGCCTGTTTGAGTTTCTCACTGTTAATCACTGCATTTTAATGGTGCCAAGTGAAGTAAACATGAAATTCCTAGCTGAAGAGAACTGGAGATGATAACAAAGAACACAGAGGGACAGTTAGTCTATATATTGTTATTGATTTTTTCATTTATAAACAATCAATGAAGGGAAGAAAAACTGCCCAGGACACGAAATGAGATGAACCCACTAAAGGAAAGATTGTCCATCGCATTGACTCAAACAAACCCCCCCCCCCATTTTTTTTGTTAGAGATAAATCTGTATTTTTGTTTGTCACGGAAAGTCGTGAAACATTTTATGTGGCACCTCTGGTGGCAAAAACATGAACTGTTACATAGCTAGCCGCTCAGCCACAACAAGCATACGCAGACAACCGCAGACTAGGGCAACGAGATGACCGTTTATTGTCTCGCGCTAGCTTCTTTTGTAGCTTCACCTACGAAGCGCAGGAAAGGGGGAAAAGGGGAGCGGGAACGGCTAGCGCTTCAGCCATCGACAGAAACACGAAGGGGGAAAGGGGGACGTAGAAGTGGGAGAGTTCAGTTCGCAACAGGGGGAAAGGGGGGACGTAGATGTGGGAGAGTTCAGTTCGCAACATGAACGATCTGATGCACCCGGCCATGTGACCGTTGGTTGCTGTGTGCAGTCCGATATTAGTATTGAAATGTTGTTAATTTCTTTCTATGAAAAGATATTACTCCACAAAAATGTACATGTAGGCTTGCGTCTGTAGTATGCATTAAAGTGGCACTACCTTGGCATGATGTAATGATGCTATGCTCATCAGAGTCTTTTGAGCAACTTTTCAGCATGCTCATGCAGCCATGCGCACAGTTTCTAGGCCGCTAAAATTTTGGAGCGCCGCAGTTTTGCTACGTACACTTCATCTCAGAAATGACGCGCAGTGCTACTCGGCGTTGCCGTGCATATGCGTAGTGACCTTTTAAATGATTTGGCTTGGCTTGTTTATCGAGAAAGTAATGACTTCGGTACGAGCCACCCTTGACACATGTGCAGGCAACCTTGGGTGCAGGCGCACACGACAGGGTACAAATATAGAAATGCCACACCATCTCATTGTGACAGCTTGCTATTTTCAAAAATAGATCGAAAGCTCGAAATAAAGGTGATTAAGCATAGTCACAGGAACTCCTGTAAAAGCAGAGTGGTGGCAGCTTTCACAAAATGCAAGAAGGCCTGGTAGCTTTGCTGTTTATTCTCAGCATTGCTGGATGAAAGGTACATCTTTATGTAGAGTCTTTCAGGTGGAAAAATACTGCTTTTAAAATATAGCTGCATGCTTTGGGATTAACTACTGCAGGATTTCGGATTAACCACTGCAGCTAGAAACACTATTAACTAAGGGTGAGTTCTTATGATCATTGTCATTCATTTTCATTCTCATTTCATCTGACATTCGTGGGCTTCTATGTTCTACTCCCAAAATACTGAATCGGGCTGCACGCCCCCTATCCTGGTGAGTGCACCTATGGCTTGAGTATCGCGGTAGAGCTTCATAACGCAGATAATTACTGTTGCTTTTGCTGTTGGCTTGCTGTAACGGCCGTCGAAATGAGAAGCAAATTATACAACCAATGTCTAGGGCACAAAATATACCAGTGTCTGCTGCTTGTAGCCAGTGTTAATAGACACAACTCATGTTTTAACATTTTCATACTTTATTTGTTCTCTATATTCTAGGAAAAGGACATTCCCACATTGAAAGACAATGACCTCGTCAAAGATGGCACCAAAGTACATATTGGTGTCGACGCCAAGGAACGGTTCTTGGAGCTTCTTACAGCTGACGTCAATGTAAGTCCCATGCATGAAACACTTTTTTTTATATTGCACAGGCAAACAGCATGGCATCACCATTGTGCTCCATGCATGTTGTTAACACTGACGTTTTTTTTACAAAGTGATCTGCTTTAAATGAGTCTAAAATATTTTTGGCCAGCTTTTCAACTTTTAGCAGATTAGTAATTTAGGGAAAACTTACATATTTTGTGAAAGTTAATTCCCCTGGAGTAATTCCCTGGGTATATAAGTAACTAGGTGGGGAAAATTTGTGCAATGGGGATGATTTTGACGTTTTAGCTCATTGTGATTGCCACCTGCTGCTGCCTCTGTAGGTTGATAGCCTAGTGCTGCTGATATGTAGAAGGAGTTTGAGGCATCGCAAAGTGGACGTCTTTTTTTTCCTTGGCATGCACTATTAAGGCTCTTAGCTGACAAGTGTGAGAAAAGGGATATAAAATATCTCGGCCCGATTTAAATTATTTTTTTACTCGGAGTCTGCAAGCCAGCCCTGCCAAAATGGACATGATCATGCGGGGTGAATGCAAATCACTGGGTTGGGAATTTTTTGCCCTCTATTCTGCCGAAATATCTGTCAGAGTCAGTAGATGGCCATTCAGTCGTATTTTACGTGCATTTATGCAACTGACTGCTGGTGAGAGAGCTGCTGCTAGTATGTCACGTGTTACTGTCTTACATGACTTTAACCGGAATCAGACTGTGTTGACGCTGCACTTGTATACACATTACAAAAGATAAGTAATTGATAACAATTACCATTACTTTTTTTCAAGTGTAATTGATTAGATTAGTCGAAATTCTGCCACAAAAAGTAATTGAGCAATTACATAAATATAATTGATTACTTTTGCTTTGCTGTTCTTCAAAATCTTATTTCTGTGACACATTCGCATGAGTATACTCAAACTACAATGAGTCAATGGCTTTGTAAAAGAAATACTGGACCAGTGGGGCTGTCTTAGCAAGTTAAAATAATGGAAGCAGTGTTTCTTACATGAGAAGTGCACTGTAATCTAAACTGCTGCTGTTTTTTTTTGGTCCCTAGATTTCTAGTTGGCTTCACACAAAATTTTGCATTTCCAGGAGACATAAAGTAAGATAAAATGTAAAGGCTCCTCCCTCCAACCTTTCTTTTATAAGAACTGCTTTGCCAAGGTAGTTTCCTGAATTTTAGTGCTGACTGGTTCGGAAGCACGTGTTTGTGTATGTCACCAAAAATTACACCAAGATATCTTGAAAATGTGAGCATTCATTGGAACACACTTTGTGCTTTAGCGCAGCACCTTCAGATCGCAACGTTACGTTTTGAATACATTTATACCCATCAACACGTACAGGTTTATTGTCACACTTTGTGTGTGTACATTAGTGTTCATGTCACTCAGAGGCCGGCCGGTGGAAAAGCTTTGTGACATGTTGCTGCAATGAAGTGTTCATTCTCGGTAGCATTGCTGTAACGAACAGAGAAATTAATAATAAAGTGAAACATTGAATAAGTGAAATTAGTAGTGCATGCGATGTCACATTGGTACACATGTCATTGATAAAACGTGGCAGCCGCCGTGACCCATTTATAAGTGTAAAAAAATATAAGAAAACAACTTGGGATGGTTGAAGAAAAGGTATCCATGCAGTTTTAACACTTAATTTGACAGGATAGCTAGGTGGGCTAGTTGGTATGTCATGATTAAGTAGAACATTGAGCGCAAATAAACGACATGGGTTGAAGAAGAAAAACGCACACCAGAGCACTTGTGGTGCATGTTTTTTTTCTTGGCCCCACATTGTTTATTTGCACTCTAAATTCAACTTGATTTAAGTTTCATTTCATAAGTACCGACTTTAAGCATCATCTTGTTTAGTGCTGCTCATTTTAGGGGGCAGACATATCTTTGTAGGTTGATTGATATGTGTGGTTTAACATCCCAAACCACTATATGATTATGAAAAACATAGTAGAGGAGGGCTCTGGAAATTTCGACCGTCTATCTTTGTAGGTACAGCAACTTAATTTGCATAATAATTGCATTACATGAGAAAAAGTACTTGTGGTTCTAGCAAAAACCAGCAAGCTTGACTGTCATTCACTGGTGTAAGATCTAACAGTTTGTTGTTACAACCCATAACATCAAGTTTTGACGAGCAACAGCATCCAACTCCTTGATAAAATTTGTGAGGACGTTCAAGTTTCTGACCTGAGACCATCGGAACAAACGTGCATCTCTGTGGGAAAGTCAAAGACCTGGAACGATCGAGAAGCTTTTGATGTAAAGAAAATAACTCAGTGCTATTGAAGGAGCCTCTGAGCAATTAGTGCAGTGCGAGGAACTGTGGTGGCTTTTGGTGGAGCTGGCATTTTTTTGTCTGGTTATAGCAGAATACATGATGATGAAATTTGATGGGAGAACCTAAATGTTCTGTTTTCTCAGTTCCTGGCCCAGATGAACGTGATGGACTACTCGCTCTGCCTTGGCATCCATGACGTGGAGCGGGCGGAGCAGGAAGCCCTCGAACGGGAGCGGGTCGAAGCGCTCATGGAGGAAGCTGACAATGGCACAGGTGGCAGCGATGCCCTGCCCCAGTCCGAGGAGGACGAGGACTCCGCAGGATCGGGGCTGGCCGACGCTGTACCTACTCCACCTGACTCGCCAGGAGGACGCTTTCGCAATGAGCTGGGCATTTCGAATGGGCTTTTCAACTCGGCGAGGGACATCTATGCCATTTGCAGTCTTGACGGTACGCAGTGAATGTGACCAGCACCTCTATTATAATGCTCTTCAGGGTCAGCAGAAGACTTGTTGTTTTATAACTGCCAAGTCATCATGCAGGAGATTAGGCTCTCAACGATTCCAACTCCAATAATTCAAACTTTTGGCTTATTCAAAGAAATTGTGAATTTTAACTTTTTCTGCAATGTCTTAGGGCATTTTAAAACTGCTTAATTCAAACTGCCTCATTAAACAAGTTCGGTTAATTCAAACTTTCTGCCTGTCCATACCTGGAAACATCTGCTGCCTTTGCTGCTTGTAGCTGAACATTTGCGTTCTTATGTCACTAAATGTCACTAATAAAGCTCATTGCCTCTCTGTGAAATGGCCAGGCTTGATGAACAGCGCGCATCAACTCTTTCGTTAGCACATCTATTTAAATCGATCACTGGTGATCGATGCTTTGAATCGTCGATTTTAGTATTGTAATGATGACAAAAGCAGTGCTCAGGCACGGGGGCATACCCGACTAGAGAAAAAAGAGAACGAGTTCAGATAAAGAACACCGGCCCTGCGAACTGGCGTTATCTCTGTCTCGTCTTTTACAATGGCGCAGTCGAAGAAGAAGTCTTGCGTCCCCATTTCGTCATTCAGGACAGCCGTGAATATTCAGCCACGGTAAGCGTCTCTTGAGGACGGCTTCTATGCCACCTCGGCAGCTGTTCACCGGCCGCCATTGCCACCACTGTTCGGGGATGGCGTCAAGGCCTCATCGGCTGCTCCAGTATACTTTACCGGTACGATTTCACGAAAAGGGCTGTTGTCCACACGTCCTTGGCCACGAATTCCCTGCAGCTCAAGCCACCTGTCGATACCCTCGTGCATCATCGGCAGCATGGTTCTCTCATCATATAAATGCGGTTCACACTTTCTCATACATAGGGTTCACGACCCGACCGCTGCTGCACCTACCCGCGGAATTAACCGAGGACGGCGTCCATGCCTCCTCGGTGGTTCCAAGGTACCACTTGACAGACGACAGGCTACCATCTACGTCTCAGAATGCGCATGAGCTGCTCTCATCTGAGAACGTCGCGCACGCTTTCCGTGGCCTGCATCTCGTGCCTGGTCCTCTTACAACGGGTGAACATCCAAGGGACGCTGATCAGGCTTCCTTGGAAGTGCATGTCGCCACCGTGAATTCTGCTAGAACCATGTACTCCGCGGACGCGAACCAAAGCGGCTCAGAGGCCTCATGCGACAGTGCCATGGAGCTGCGGTGTACCATCGCGCGACTTCACGTCACGGTCAACGCTGTTACAGCGATGAGCTTTGTGCTGTTCCTTGCCATCTTACCAGTTCTGAGTGCAAGCGAACGCATGTTGGATGCAGTCGCCTCACATGACCTTGGGGCCTGCTCATCTGAGCAATGAGGAGAGCTGAGGTGCGCCCTCCTGCAGCTCTCAAACCAGATCAGTTGCTTCGACTCGGTAATCTCTGCATTTTCACGTGCGGACCCACCATCACCAGCCGTCAGGGAACCACCGGAATTCGACGGGTCCCAGGACGGCGTCGTCGATTGAGTGGCTATCATCAGCGCTCTCGGAGCTCGCAAGGGATGGAGCGAAAATCGGAAGTGGTGCGTAGCCATAGACCGCCTTCAAAATCCTGCCACGGCGTGGCACAGGTATGAAGGCGTGCAGCAGCAATCGTAGGTGGAATGGAGCTGCAAGCTGATTGCTGCTTTTGGCCGGACTCCGTCCCACCTCTTTGCCAGCACCGAGACCAATCTCACCGGTACCGAGGATGGAGTTCAAGAAGTGTTTCATCTCGAGGCTTAAGCTGAGCGCTCCGGTTCTCTACATGAGCTTCCAGACTCGTCGCTGGTACCAGACCCAAATTCATGTCAGCAATCGGCCACTCCATCCTCTCTCGTGGGGCGAGATACAGAGGGGCACAGGGTAGCTCGACCCTTTGCCAACGTGCCCACTACCATATACCGAGCTCAAGTGGTGAGGCAGCACGATGTCTCATCGCAGTCCTCCAGCCCGACAACAGCCAACAAGACCACCCTCGAGCCTCAGCAATTGGCATTGCGGCCTTCAAAGCCGACGCCTCCTGGGCATGTGGAGTCGTCCACCCCTGTCCTGCCGGATGGGTCACGACATGACACACCCTACGGGTCTACGATACCAGCAGTTTCCAGTGATACCGGCGAGGAGAGCACACTCAGTGATCAGCTGGTGGGGGATTTGCCTGCTACACGGCAGTCATTGACCGAGTGTGCGAGTGCTTCACTCAATCAATCCGTGTCTGCTGAAGACAGATTAATGGACTATATACCTGTTTTATCCGTATCTGCCCACCACGCCTTGGCCGACGGTAGCCATGCGCCGCAAGCAGCTGAAGTCAGCATCAGCACCTCCGGCCTCCCGGCGTACAGCCCTACTTGGGATCACGGGCAATGCAATATGACTTCGAGACCATCTGAATGCCGTGCGGATCACCAGGAGGCAGCCTGCGTCAAGGAGGAATCAGACATGGATCGGCCAGACGGCGACCAGCTCGCACAGATCAGCGAGGTAATGCCTTCGTACGCCCCTGGTGTCTGCGGCGTGATGTGCAGCTGTGTTTCCAGCAACTTCGATCTCGCTTCTATTGTTGCATCAGAAAGAGGTGCATTAAGTGTCGCTAGTTGCTGCTATGGCGTCGTCGTCACACGCACATGGGTACACACCTGCGCCACAAGCAGTGTGCACTGCAAGAGACTATCTTGCAACCACACCTAAATTGAGTGACGACGAGCTTTGAGTCCTAAGATGACAGCACTTCAACTTCAAGCACTGATGGAAATGATGTTTTGAATCAGCCTGGGACATCCGCAGCCATTCTGGAAATGGTTTCGTTTACGGCCTCAAGTAAGCTCCTCCGCCTCATGTGTGTAGCTGCGAACCTTTGTGCAAAATCTCGGATCTACTCTGGTGACGTGTGAGGTCCGCACGTCACTGGGGATATGCTGGTGCTGGCTGCAGAGCTTCACCTCACGACAGGGAGGCCGCTGGAGCACATGTCGGGCCCGCACTACAGAGCGGCATGAGGAATTTTAGGTCTGCACGTGGTTTCATTTTTTTTCCTCTATAATATTTTCAAAACATAGATAAATATTGCCTGCCCGAAACAAAGAACGAAGACGATGTGCGCGCTAACAGCCTCGTGAAAAGGGACACTGAAGAAGACGACGTGCTTTTGTTTAGCTCTCCTGCTCTCGGATCCTGCATAAAACACGCCGTCGGTTCTCGGACTCAACGTCTCGGTGAACTGCTTACCTTGAACCGCGACACTGGTGGAGGCGCTGGATTGCAAGCCTGCCAATGCTCGACACCCCATCTGGGAGTCGTTCATCAAGTCCTGACACGCAGCCACCTGTTACAACACCAGTGCACCGCTTCAGTCGGCGGTTGCTAGGCCTCTCTCCTGAGCTGACCTCCTTCGACAAACTTTCTACCAGGCATTACGTACCTCTGCCAATGGCCTCCGCCAGCCAGCCACAGTTGGTCCAAAGGATACAAGGCAGCCCCGTTTCCAATCCAGCCCAGGTAACACTTCTTCAGCCACTTGTACGTGATCGCTTCAGTGGTGCCCCACATGAAGATGTTGAAGATTGGCTTGAGCATTTTGAACGTGTTGCTGACATCAATCAGTGGAATGCTCAACAGAAGCTCGCCCACAAGTACTTCACTCTCGATGACAGCGCTCACACGTGGCATAAGAATCGAGAAGGCCGTATATCGACATGGGATGAGTTTCGTCAGCAGCTGATTGACACCTTTGCTAGCGTCGACCGTCGAGAGCGGGCTCAGCAGTTGCTCGAGTTAAGACTTCCAAAACCTAACGAAACTGTGGCAATGTTTGCTGAAGACGTGACGTGGCGATGTCGTCAGGCTGATCCCAATATGTCCGAGAAAAAGAAGTTGCACTACCTTATGCGCGGCGTGAAAGAACAACTGTTCGCTGGACTTGTGCGCAATGCCCCAACTACCGTGGCCGATTTTATAAGAGAAGCCACTGCTATTGAGCGTGCTCTGCACCAAAGATCGGGGCACTATGATCGCTCGTCCACTACCACCCCAATCAACGCCGCTTGAGTGATTCTGGACAATCAGGGCTCCCTACATGACCTGATCAGAGATATTGTCCGAGAAGAAATTCAGAAGCTTTGGACTCCTCCAGTGGATACATCAGTGACCGCCGTTGCCGCAGTCATTCGTGACAAACTTGGGCACACTTTTTCAGCAGCTGATCTCGGTCGCGAGCAGCGTCAACTGAGTTACGCCGACGCTGTCCGCCGTCCACCACCCGTCCCGCCTATTACATCATACTACCAGCCACCTACAGCCGCACCTTCGTCACAACCATTGCAGGAGGCTTTCAGACGTCGGCCCATGTCTCCGATGTCTCCGTGCCACCAGCCACCACTTGCCACGCCTTACTCACCACCACGAGAGGACATGGGACGCCCACAATTTCGCAGAATGGATGCTTGGCGCACTGTCGATCGGCACCCTCTCTGCTTCAACTGTGGTGGTGCCGGCCATATAGCCTGCTATTGTTGGTACCGCGACACATCGCATCCCCCGTCTCGGCCAGGGTACGACGGTCACCGTGCTAACGCCGACTACATTGTTCGCCATGATGACCCTGGTTTTCGAGGACCTTCAACAACGTGGTCTACCTATCACGAGTCACTTCCTAATCGCCAGCCCAATTCCGCCCACAGGTCACGCTCTCCATCCCCTGCTCAGACATCGTCACCGAATCGACATACTTTTGCTGACCTTCGGGGAACAAGGTCACCCAGCCCTTACTGGGGAAACTAAAGGCGGCGACCTCTCAGGGTAAAGTCGCAGCCCGACCACAAGACTATTAAAAGTCTCCAGTACTGCCACTACAGAACGACTCGACGCCGACGAATATTAACAACGACGAACTGGTGAGCGTCGACCTCAATGTAATTATTAATGGAGAGCA